TGTACAAACCAAATATTTTCCTTATCTAAAATACTATGTTCAAATGACAATTACTTTGGGTAAAATTGGACAAAATATGTAAGCATATTTATGTATAGGTGTGGTTTTCCTTTGTCCCATATGGGTAGACTAGACAATTTTGATTTTTTTTATGGAGTCGTCCAAAAGACCAAAACGCATAGTTATATACATATAGGTTACCTTTCCACCGCGTACAAAGCTGAAGGTAGGTAACAAGGACAATTTAAATTTTGTCCTTGTAAGTAAATAGGATTACTATCCATACTCAGTCTTTTTCACATTTAAAACAAATGCGACCCTGATTATCTACAATTATTTTGATAATTTTTGTTTATTGCCGTTTTGAGGTGAGCGCCCACGTTTCTATGTCGTGTTTGATTGACTGAAAAAGCATATGCTATCCTCGTGGTCGTTTATCTCTAGGTACTTATATGTTTTTTTTTTTATTTTTCGCCATCTGCGAAGAGAGACTTGAAAAGGAAAAAAGTACGTCGTAATGTTTGAAAAAATCTCGTCTCTCCAGTACTTCCGCATTTCCAATACATAGGTAGTAGGCACCTAGTATAAAATTATAAATCATACAAAGAAATGATACATAATACTATTTACAGTACCTAGAAGTTGGAGGTTAACAAGCCATGTGCGTCACAGCATCACGACTTGTCTATTATTGTTACGCATTAAGCTAATACAATTTATCGCCATCGTGAAAATAACGTAAGAGTTGACGCTATGGTCACCATGCAGAATAACCAAAGCAGCCATGCTATGCTTATTCTGCCATGTATAGGTACGGCATGGCTATTGAAAATTGGAAATACCGAAGAGATAATAGTTATAAATGCTTTATACTGATAAAACATTAAATCAGGTCTGAAGTAAATCCAATTCTGATACATGTTCACCTAGTTACATATATATCAATACATAGTATAAAACAAAGTCGCTTTCGCTGTATGTCCGTATGTATGCTTAGATCTTTAAAACTACGCAACGGATTTTGATGCGGTTTTTTTTAATAGATAGAGTGATTCTTAAGGAAGGTTTGTATGTATATACATATTGCACCCGTGCGAAGCCGGGGCGGGTCGCTAGTATATATATATAGGTGTTCGTTTATTTACGATTAGGAACTTAAGGTCTATTTAAACACGCTGTTGCCGCATGTTACTTCGCGAGGTGTCACTGGCCTCCGTATCTATGACGCGAGAAGGCAACACCAAGTAAATATGTTTGTATATTGCTGGTTGTTACTTTCACTAAACCAGATAGGTATTTGTATGTGTTCACGAAAAAACAGTTATTACATCATCATAAACACATATATGGAACTTAAACACTATAATAGTAGGTAAACATCACAATAGTAAAATTAATATCTACCTACGTATCTATGATATTGTACTACGCCTTTGGAATGTGCACAAAATATCGAAATTACATACTATTACATATTATAATACTCAAAGTAATTTCTTCATTAGAACTACTGGACATTGCATTTAAACTTAAAACATTACCGCAAAGTTACGCAAGCAGACTATAATTATGTAGCGTCGTAATACACAACATGGTCAATATTGAGTATTGATTAGTTAGCAAGGTTGGTAAAACAAAATTGTATGATAACCTTCGCCATATAAATATTTAGTGATAAGAAACTCACGGCTGCTTTGCTTGGTTTGTATCCTGATGCATCAGTTTGCTGGCAAGTTGGCACCAACTCCTGAAGGGAATCATAGCCCTTTTTAATGGCATCTCTTCTTTTCTGTTCAGCCTGTGAAAAGAAAATATTGTTACCAACACTTAACAATAGTTTGATACTAAAAGATTTTAGTATAAAAGTAAACTTAAAACTAGAAGCCATCAAATATAAAAACAAATTGATGTAAACATCAAATAGTTTTGAAATCACTTTTAACTCGTCGAGTACCGTCGTTATAGACACAATTATAGAACAATAGGTTGCGGTCACCGGTGACCGCTTGGTGTTTGACAGTTTAAAGTGATGACAAATTAGGCAACTACGGTAAGTATTATTAACATCGCCCGAATACTGAACTCTATTGAAGGCTACCTACTCAATTTTAAGTTGTACTTAAATATCGTGCCTTCTCTGTCATTTGACAAAGAATTTGTAGTGGCACAACTATACTTAAACATGCCATATATTTTTCTTTATTAATATTTTATAAAAAACATTGCCCCACACTAGGATTTTCTCCTGTGTCGTGGGTGCGTTAAGAAACATACAAGTTCACATACACATGACACCCAGACTGGAAACAACAAATTGTAGATCACACAAAGAGTTGTTCCCTATGGGAATCATACCCGTGACACATTCCAAGGCAGCCGGTTGCCCAGCCACCGCACCAACCGTGCAGTCAATTGAGGAGCGTTTAAGTATTTCAGCGAATGTGATTCTTTTTATATACACTTATTACTTACATAAGTTTATGGTATGTAAAAGGTTGTTATAATGATCACCATCATTAGAATTCAAAAAAATTTTACTTATGCTTTAGTGGTTACTGTTGCCTTTCTTAATTTTATTAGCATAAGAAAAGTAACTACTAGAATAGCTAACAAATGTCTTATTAAACTGTCAAACACCAAGCGGTCACCGGTGACCGCAACCTATTGTTCTATAATTGTGTCTATAATTACGGTACTCGACGAGTTAAACAGTCAAAGAATAACACATTTTCTAGAAAAAAGTGTCTTTGCAAAAATAAATTAGAAACAAATTTATCATTAATCTTTACGAGAGTACCTGAGAGTGACATTTGTAATTAATGGTATGTATATTAATTACAGTAATTTGTAATTAACAGTATGTATATTAATTACAGATGTCTTAAATTACTTATATTCGCTTTCCGCTGACTTTTCATTATGGTATTAAATGCCTCCTGTACCTTTTGTATTGGTTTTGTTTGTTTATGCAAGTAAATTGAACCTTTTTATATGGGTTGTATGGTGCATTTTACACAATATATTGCTTTAATCGTTACCTGAGTATGAGCCTCTCTCCTTCTTTCCTTAAAACTCAGTGCAGATGCCTTGTTGTCTCCACTGTCATCTTCATCCTCTGTAATTTAATACAAGGATTTCCAATAAGTATTTGTAGAACCCTGAACAATTATATAAACAAATTTAACTAACCCTATTAAATGAATTGAATGCTTAACAACAACCAAATATGACTTACTTTAGCACACAAACATGAAATAATTAAGGCACTTATTGTTTACTGTCATCATAAGGAATTTTTCTTTAATGTATAATTAGGTGCATACCTAAATTATAAACAAATGACAACATAAATATTATTGTTATAAAATTCCATATGAACTTGACATAGACCAAAAGTCTTTACAATTATCAATAATTAAACATATATTTTTTATTCAAAGTAAGGCAATTTTGATAATTTAGTCAAAATATGGAAACTGTCAAAATTCATACAGCGGAAAATTCCGGTAAATCAAGATCAATACATTTAAACGTAGTAATGTCTTACACAAGAGACTTTGGAATTCAATTCATGAGACTAAAGAGACACAGAGATTTATGAAAATCCAATAAATAACCAACTACTGTACCACTTACCTGTGTTCTGGTTAGAAGACGACGGTGTCTGGTGGATATTTTGGATTGAACCATTACTACCACATCGTGGATACATTATAAAAATATATTAACACAACTGAAGATAAAAATAATAATCTATGAAATGATAACAGGTGGACTTATGACTAAAATACAATTAAACTAGGCTAGCGAGGCAAACAAGACGCGGAAATCGACATGACACTGATAAAGTGTTTAAAGAATTTGCATATTGATATGTTTCAAGCGTTGCTTATAAACAATTACGCACTTTATTTTTCACCTCGCTATTCCATTCCGTTCAATTGACGATTCCATGACAAAATGACAAATGTTTGACAGTTTTGAGAATGACAAAGTGAGACTACAGATAACAAAGATAATATCAAAAACCATAGAGTAATCATGTTGTTTATATAAAAAAAACTTAATTTTATTATAAAAATAAACTAAACAAGAACGTTCAATGTGACGGTATACAAGTAATCCAAAAGTAAAACTAAAAGATTAAACTGCCGCTCGCACCGTGGTGGCTGTAGATTCATTTATATTTTGACTTCACTTTTGTAACTAATCTTTCGCAACAACACAAGTAAGTTTTGGTTGAGGGTTTAAGTATTTCTATTTAGGAGTTTTAATAAACCCTTTTATATTAAAACTAATAAAAAAGATTAAAATTCATCTATTAAACAGATATTACAATAAAGCTAGAAAGGTTCGAAAGTCTCTACATAGAAATTATTCGAATATAATTTTTTTTCAAATATATATAATGGATAACACGTTCCAACAATTTTTTGATTTTTAGTCTATTTAGCTGTATTTCTGATTATTTGTTTATTTGCGCGCGCAACACGCGAAAATGGAGCAATCAGAAGATGTGCTTTTTAAAAAGAAGATAGACGAAGGGATGGAAAGGGACATAGCCTACTTTTATTTCCCTTCCAACCCCCACTTACCTAAAATATGGGTGGAAGTTTGTATAGGGCACCCCGCAATTTCCAAGGTAGTTGCTAAGAATTCTTTAGCGGACTATTCATGAGTAACGAAACAATCGTGCATCATTTGTTTTTGTTTTGCCCCCAGCCTCAAAGTGGGTGCATTTTTATATTAAGGAACTTTACGCAATTTTCAAGGTATTTTTTTTATGGCATAAGCCGGTAGACGAGCAGACGGATCACGATGGTAAGCAATCGGCGTCGCCCAATGACACCTGGAACACCAGAGTCATTACAAATGCGTTACCGGCATTTTGGGAATTAGGAGTTTGAGGATCGTTGGGGATTCAGGAATTGGGGAGATTGGGGAAGGGGAGGGTAATTGGGCCTCCGGTAACCTCACTCACACGACGAAACACAACGCAAGCGTTGCTTCACGTCGGTTTGTGAGGCCGTGGTATCATTCCGGTCGAGCCGACCCATTCATGCATGCATATCATACACTTAGGAATAAAATAGGCCGTGGATTATTTTAAAAATCATGCATCAGTTTTTTTTGTGTAAGTCTGTCCCCAACTCCATAAAAGAGAGTTTTGAAACTTTTTGATTTTTAGTTTCAAAGGCAGAAAGCTAAAAATAGATACATGGATTTTTGCTACTAACAAAAAATACCTGACTTATTTTTACAGACATCTTCCCTCAACGGCTCAACCCCTCAAATAGGATTTGGAAAATGTGTGAAACTCTTTGTGAGATTAGTAGGTACACGTTCTAGTAATCTACACTAATATAAGAAAATAGATTCTGATAACATGTTACAGCCATAGAATAAAATATACTTTGTAAAAGACTAATTCAAAAACTTATTGTATTCAAAGCCTTATTGTACGCGGACAACTAGTAATTAATAAAACTAGCAGTCTGCAACAGTTACACTTCGCTAGGATACTATATTAATTGAAGTTCCCATGTTCACAATGTTCATTTTATGTCGGATCAGTTAAGTGGAAATACAAACTATCGTGCCGTAATGCCGAGGCAACCAATTGTACTATCAATAATTTAAACATATTGGTACCATTTATATTTTCAATTCTTGAATGTGGACTTTTAGGAACAATCATTAGAACAATGATCATAAAAATAATTATATTTTTAATTTTAAGTAACAAATAGTAGTGGTTTGCTTTTATTACATCTATGGTTTGCTTGGGTTTACATTTCATTCATTCACACTGAACAAGATATAAACATTCACTCACTCATTTCATCCATTTGTCTATTCATTCCATCCGTGATCTATTCTCCATCCGACCAAGTGAAAAAGAATATTTTTTGTGAAAGCGTAGCGCATTTTGTGTGTGACTACTGCGTTTAATTATAATTTTGTTGTTGAAGATAATCACGATTTAATTAACATAAGATGTGCATGAATTCTTCAGTGAGTGAATTGTTTATAATAATATGATAGTTTCAATAAGCAATCTGTAAAAATCATTCTTAATTTCCCAAGCGATTAGGTACCGATCTAGTCATCCATGGCCACCATTTTAGAATTTACTCGGTGGTGCTCTCGTGTAATTTATTTTTGTTGTATGTAAAGATATGCATTATTTTTGTATTTAATGTAACTATTTTCATCGTTAATTCTTGCTCTTAATGTTTAAACAGCTTGCTGATTGATCGTGTTAGAAAAAAAAATAGAATTTTTGAATTTTACGCGAGTGACTTCATAAACTAGTTTAGTTTTCAGGAATATCTAAGTGAAGACTAAATTGGTGATAAAATGGTGTCGACGAGGCAAATGAGCAGCGTTGGAGGAGGCAATGGGGGCAGTGATGGTGCAGGTCCCTCTCACGCGGAGCCTGTGGCGGTATCCCGCGTCACTCGTCACTCTAGCACCTTGATGCCTGGAGGTTCTTCTCCGCACGCCAGTACTTCCAAATGCAGTTTACTGCCGGCCCCTAAAACTTACACTACGAATATACTTGATTTGCCAGTTGAAGTTATTGAAAAGATTATTTGCTATCTGGGCTTCAAAAGTGTTTCACAGATCAGAATGGTTAATATTTATTTTTTTTACTTTTCTTTGACTTACTATTACTTTATTAGTTTTGTAGGATGTGTTATGCAGTTTTCAATGCCTTGCAATTATGATAAACATCTAATGCAAGCATAATGAAAAAAATTAATACCATTTATTTAGATTAACTCATTTACATGTCTGAGGTGGGACATAAAGTTCACATTCTAGATTGATTAAACTTGTGATACAAATGGGACAATATTATAATATCTTTAAATTGTTAATATCCTATATAAATTTCTAATGCCTGGGCTTGTTTCATATTACAACTTTATACTTTTGAATTATACATTATAGCTGTTGTTGCTACTTTATAAACGAATTCCACTTTTAATAGTTAGTCATTTTAAGTGAAATATTTTCCTGTTTTGGTTAACTTATTTAACTTAAAATCAAAATCATGCATTTGAGTATTATTGTGTCATGTTTTTGTGATACTGTTCTTGGTTGAATACTGTGCTAGAATTCAGACTATATTTTTGGTTTGCAGGTTAATCGGCAGTTTAATTCAATATGTAGTAGTATTCTGAACTCTACATTTCAACGGTTACAAAACCAGATGCTGCATAGATTTCAATCAATTAAAGCAAAGATGCCCCGCAGAGAATCTGCTCGCAGAAGCCATCCTTTAGCTTGTGAATCCGACATCATAGAGACCTTGCATATGAGACTAAGTCTTTTGCAAATGACTTTTGGCAAGCACATTGAACGGAAACATTGCTGTTTCTTTCCAGGAGAGGTAAGCATTCATTCCCATTAAAAAAAATTAAGTAGTTAAGAAAGTAAGAATTTTAAAGTGTGGTTTTGAGCTTGTCTATCATTAGTGAGGCAAAAGAAGTAAAGATTATTCCAAAAAATTAAGTGATGACCTATTGTTTAATATTTACACAAGACTTATCTATTGTTATAATTTATGATTGTGTGAAATGATGATTACTGTGCTTATTAAAGTACATGTATACTTAGTGATGGCATGTAACTACATGAACAGCAAAAAAGTGATTCAAGAAGTAAGCATATATTTGTATATTTATATATATGTTGCTAATTTTCTATTGCTTGTGCTATGTGAATACTTTTTTTAAGAATGTTCTGTAGAAACATAGTCAATATTTGCCAATAAAAACATATAGTGTTTTTTACAATAGTTGATTTAGTTAGCTGTACATTCATTCATAAAAAATTGATTATCATTTTGGTTTACAGAAAATTATCATCAGGCCATGTTTTAGGATCTTCAATCATAACTATGCAGAATAATTACTTACTATTGGCCTGTCGCTATGAAGCTTCTATGACAGGAATACATACATTTATTTTACTCTTTGATTTCCTATAATTCTAATGGTTTGCCCTTAACCACTGTGGTCGACGTTGTGGCGGTCGAAGTTGATAGCGTCGGTAGTAGGTATAGCTGCATTACTAGTATCGGGTATTGTTTCGTTTTGGCGGTGTATTTAAATAATAACTATTTTACGATCTCTCCAGTTTCTATGCAAAAATTCAAACTGTTTTGTATTACAAAACTTGAAATAACGTGGTTTCTTGTCCCTTTACGTTTTCGCCTAAAAATAGATTCTCCAATCGACTACTGCGTTTAAGAGAATGCAGCACGTGTATCGTGCCGTGTGGCGTCATTGGAAAATCATTCACTTACGATAACTAAACTGATAGTCAAACTCGCTGCTGACCTGCTTATAACTGGTGAGATCGCTAGATTCTGTTCCGTGACTATGAAGAAAGTAGATACCTATTCGTATTTATACTACAGAGAAGTAAGCTGTTAGGGTAGGTACCCATTTACTTACGTAGTAGTTCAATGTATTCTTCAGGAAACGTGATTTGCGTATCTACCTCGTTGTAGTACCTAATAATTGGGTTGCGTAGCAAAGCGAATAATTCTGTTTATTTTTTTTTATTGAAATATTGAGACACGAAAAAATCTCACATATGTATTTTTATAATAATGTTTAGGTCTACAATTCTAGATAATAGGAAACAATGTTAAAATTAACTAAATGAGGCTTCAAAATAAAAATAAAGCGGGTCTTTGAAATTCTAATTGTTCTAATTGTAATCTTTCGAAGTGGAAAAAAAACTTATTTGGAACTCATATAGAGGCTTTCGTGACTTGTATTCATTTGTTCTTCTATCGAAAAACTCTATTGGCTTTTAGCGTACCGCAATAACGAAGTGAATTGTTGTTAGAGACAGTTCAACAGAATTTATTTAAAAGTGTTTAACATGAAACAGCAGGTGTAACTGCACAGGTACTACTGAAAAGGGAACATGAAATAAGATAAAATCACATTATAATAAAATC